CGAGTTCTTGACTGTAGAAGATATTCAACCAGGGCAGCTCTGGAGCTGCTGCTCTGACAGCAAACCCAGTCACTCTTGATCACTTTCACGCTTCTAAACAGCTTTTGTAGCCTAGTGTCACTTCAGCATTAACAGCTGCTTGCATGTGTCGGGCAAAGCTGTTAGAATTTCAGCCCAGTCTTCGGAACAAAATGTTATCAATTCCCCATTTCAGCAAATACCTCAGTAATATGTGACCCAAACAAGCACACGATCAGAGGTTGGGTGTGTGGGGGAATGGATCGGGTTCATCTACTAAGTTTCAGTATTTGGTGGTTTTACTTTTTTTCTTTTTATAATCCTTCCTGCTGCATGGTGGTGCAGTTGTTAGCACTGTGGCCTCGCAGCAAGAAGGTCGCCGGGTCAAAACTTGGCTGTGGCCTTTCTGCATGGAGTTGCATGTTCTCCCCATGCATGCATGGGTTTCCTCCAGGTATTCCGGTTTCCCTCAAGATCACAGCATGCCCTATAGGTTAACAATTGTACGTCACTTTGGATAAAAGTGTCTGCTAAATAAATAAACATAAACATTCCAGCAGCCATGTTGGGTTTCAGGTGCATGTTTTTTCAGCTAGTGTTGGATAAACATTTTAACAGCATCTCAAAGTACTTTGTACTGGTTTGTCATAGTAACAGTACCTTGTAAGTAACATTTAATGATAAAAAACAATTAAGTGCACTTTACTTAGCATTAATTCATTAATGGCTCCATCAGATACTTATCTAGTCATGCAAAATTATTATTATTATTAAGTGCAATTGGTTTGCATGCTTTTTTCAAGTGAGCCTAACTAATCAGATTTTACAGTGCAGCTGAGGAAAATTTGCATCACACATAAAATTGTTGGAAAAACGTGTTTGGAGGATTAAAATAATCTAAATTAATGCCGTCTTTACAGTTTTTAGTTGTAAATGATTCGTGTATAATTGTGATTAGAATTTCTATAAATACAAGACAAAAAACTCCCAATTATTTAAAATCACTCTAAATAATCCTAAAACATCTGCAGCCTCAATAGCAGTTGTTAATCCTGATTGGCAGATGCCCTTGCTTAGCATAACCACAGAAAACCTCACTCCGAAAGAGGTGTACAGCAAATCTTGCTCTGTCACACTCGACCCAAACATCCACTCATCTGCTTTATTTAAACTCTGTGAAGCAGATAGAAAGTGTTTTTCTGATACACTCACCACCAAGTGATCCCCGGCTGTTATTAAAGCCTAAACTTCTGCCTGCGGTGTTAATCCTCCTATCAGACAGGCCATGGATTTCCCCAATAGCACAGCTCACTAACCTGGCTGTATATGCGCCTCAGGACATGTTGACTGGCCCCGGTGCTCTGCAGAAAAGGACAGTACATTCTCAAACCTGAAAGACGAAATGTTTTTCTGTTATTCAATACATCTCACCGTAGCTGGGCAAGGTTTTCATGCTTTCTATAAAACGGACCTAACATCGAAGCATGGAAACGTGAGTTTGGGACTTTAGGGTTGCATTGATTCGCATTTATCATTTGAATATAAAAACACCCCTTAGATTGCTTTTTCGGTGAGTGTTTTAATTGTTCTCATATGAAATCTGAGTGACGATAGGGCCATGACATAGTTATAATTTATCTCTTGAAATTCTCATTTCTATTTTTAGAAAATGTAATTCCTTGTAGGGAATATTTTTACATATCAAATATAAATAAAATGCTAATTTGGCATGAAATTGAGCCCATTTACCAAAGTGGGTTGGGCTCCATATCTCATGGATGGATGGAATAGTTTTATATAAATTTGTAATCTGAATCATTAAACGTCTCAGATTGGTACATTATAGGTGTTGGACTGTTCCTAAAAACAGTCAGCATTGTCTTTAATGTTTTATCGCCATCTTTCTCAAAATGAGCTGCTGTGCGTACAGAACAGCGCACATGAGGGGAGCAACATTATGTTAAACGGCATCATTTTCTCTGTAGTTTTACTTCAAGTCTCCTCTGGCCATGTGATGGAGTGGAAACTAGTTCAGGGTGTGCCTCTCCTCTCACCCACTGACTGCCGGGATACAGGTCAACTCCCCACGACTCTGAACAGGATAAAACAAATATGAAAATGATGAAATAAATGAAGAACCCCTTTTACACGTACTGTAAATACTGCCACAGCAAAATTGAAGAGGGGGTCAACTGAACTTGATCTCCCTTTGTTGGACAATAGCTGTAGATAGTAGAAATTAGGTTTGATCTCATTTAAAGGAGACTTATTATGTAGACTCACCTATTGCATTATTTATTGCTGCCACGTCTACTGTCTCTGTAAACATTCTAAAAAATCAAAAGAAAAAATACATCCATTTGTTTACCTAAAATGACTCATTCTGGAAGGTACTGAAAATGTCAACAAATAAAACTAATGAAAACACTTTATGTGAGAGTGACTTTGTGGAAATAGTGTCAACCATAGAACTATTATAAGTTAAGAAAAAGTCATAATATGTCCCCTTCAAAATCACACCCACATAACAAAGGGGAATGATGATTTTGGTTGAGGTTCCATCTCGAAAACTCAGATATAAGTGTCCACGTGAAACACATTCACCACAGACTTGGTATTGTGCTTCTACTAGTGTTGTCTGACTGTGTAGACAGTAAAAAAAAAAGAACATGAACATTACCTGAGGCATTTTATCAGCGTTGACATGGCTCCCTCCTGAGTCACAAAAAGTTTTTTTTTAACATTTTTTTCATGCAAGCTTGCATTTATATTTACAAAAACTTGTAAAACAAGCTCAAAGTATTTAATTAGTCGAGTCGTGATGAAACATGAGAAAACCGGGTGCCACATTTATCAGCTTGGAAGCAATTTGCAACATAATGAAAAGTGCTGCAAATGAAAATGCAACTGTGCGAGATGACACGGAGCAGACTTCAAAACAAAACATTTTAGAGGAAACAAGAAGTGCTTGCTTGTTTTCTTCCTCGTGTGATGATATGTTGTTTTGCTGCTGTCTCCTCCATTATGCTAAGTAGCCCGCATGTATCAGACTGGTTAATGTGCTTTAAAAAAACTGCTTATGTTTTGCACATTTGCAGCTCTTATGACCACAGCTGATTTTCTATAGAGTCAGTGTAATCTTGGTCAAAAATGCAACCATGAAATACACTTCAGGCAATAAGCTACTTGAGAAATGTGCTTTGCTCAGCTGCATTGTCAGGTTTGCAGATTCACATTAGTGCAATATGACTTAACCTTCATCCGCTGCTTTTCCTCGAGTTGGCACCGAACGCCATCTGAAATTACTTTTTAGCACTGTGGAAGCATGTTAGAAGTCTCACAAATCAAAATATCTGAGTTAAATAATTGTCTTTTTCTGTAAAACACAATAAACCGAGCCGTTTCCCCGCTTTATAATGGACTATTTGTTGATTGTCTGAAGTGTCTAAATAGCTGTTAGAGTCCCAACACCCTTTCTTGTAATATGTGCATGGTTATCATTGCTGAGACTGTAGGGGGTACATAGCATCATTTCAAACCTCATTTAACACTGAACAGCACCCCTTTCTGAAGCTCAAATTGCTCAATGTGGAGGAGCAGAGAGACTCCAGACATTCATTAGCTTAATGAAAACAGGCCACTCTTCTTCTACCGCCCAGCGAGCTCGGTCCTGATGTAGCCGCAGCGACCATCTGCTCTCCAGCTCCCTGCCAGCTACAGGATAGTCCTGTCACAGCAGCTCCTCTGAAGAAAGGCGTCCACAAAGGTGCCTTAATCCCTCCGATCAGAGGGCAGGGACAGTAGGGGATGCTTTCTTTTCCCCTCTCTTCCTTTTTTTTTTTTGGTTTGTTTTATCCCTGCATCCCCCCTGGCGGCGCCTCGCTCTCCTGGTTGCAGCATTCACTTGTGATGTTAATGATGTTCATGAAAGGAGCTGAGTGTGCAGTTATTGGAGTTGCAGCAGCCACACACAGCTGGCAGTAAGTTATTAGCTGCTCATCCACAGTGGGAGAGGATGCATTCTGCAAAGGTTAATATCATTTAAGGGTTAGCCAGAGTGTGCGGATGTGGGCGGCTGACCACCTGTTCAGCTCTGGAGATGCACTGTTATAACCTCATCCAACAGCAAGGATCTGAAAGTCAAAAACACTGATAACTCTCAGAAGTATTTATGTTTGTTTTAATTACACAAAGTGTTTACGTCCTTTCAGCTGTTGATATGTTTGTTATAAACTACACATTGGACTACAGTTGCATTATGAGTTTAACCACTCAAATTAATCACTGCTAATCTCAGCGACGGGGTGCCAGCAGCACCCGGGACCGATACTTTTCTCAAAATGAGCACGAGTCAGTGCACAGTGAGAGGGAAATGATAGTCAGAGCCTCGAGGCTTGAATCTGATGGTTTGTCATCTGGATAGTATTACTTAATTTCCCACTGGGAAGAAACTCATTATTTCTGACTTTATCTCAGCGCTGACCTCTGGAACTGTTTCAGGAATGTTATTGGTTTGAGTCCGAGCTCCTTTTTCCTATTTTTTTCCCTCTACAGACCAGCACGGATGGCAAACTCAAATAAGACACATTGGTGGCGAGAGATCAGTTCAAGCGAGGAATAGACATGCGTGTCACTCCCGACCACAGATGTGGAGTCACGTTCACCTTTAATGCATCACGTACAAGACTAAATGATATTGATTTACCACTGGCTACATTACAGCTCTTATTTTTTCTTCCCGTCACGATGAATGGTTAATGGAATGTAAGATTATACTGATAAAGGATGACTAACGGACAACAAACTTCTTTAACCTTTTCTCCCTAGAAAGATCAAGTTCCTTTTACCTCCAGCGCATAGAGAGAGACTTGTCTTCAAATGAAGTTTTTTTCCCAGAATTGGTGTTCTGCTCACACATGTTGGAAGCACCAATGAGCTGTCTGATTCCTCTCTTTTTTCCCCTCTCTCCTCCTGTTTCACAGTTTAACTTTGTAGGGAAGCTGTTGGGACCGCGGGGGAATTCCATGAAAAGATTACAAGAGGAGACAGGAGTGAAGATGTCCATCCTTGGCAAGGGGTCCATGAGGGATAAAGAGAAGGTAAGACACGTATTGATTTGTGCTGAAATACAGCTGTACGGCTGCTCTTCAGTCCAAAAAATAAAACTGAGACTTATTTAAAACTTTTGAAGAAACATGTTTACCAGTCAAATATCTTGAATACACTTCAATTGAATACATAAAACTTAAATAAATTAAGCTGAAATTAATAATTGTAGATGGTACAAAAAAGTAAATAATTGAATACATTTTAAAGGTGTAGATCTTTGAAAGGCGTGGGAAACTAATTTAATCCATACATTTGCAGTGGTCTCTGGCTGGAATGAATGCAAGTCGTATTCAGGGGAATAAATATCTCAGACACACGTGAATCAGGAAGTAAGAGTGAGCCAGAGGAGAAGGTATTTTAAGTTGACGGATTTTGGACTCTTACTTCCTGATATCTGGACATCTTGCCTCGGATTGGATAATCTGTGACTCGTGACGGGAAAGGCTGTCATTGTTTTAGCGTCCAGGAATCAGCAGACAACGTCTCGACTGGTAGAAGCTAACTGTTAGCATTAGCAACACCACCCCACAGAAAATTCCCCCAGGTTTGTGTTCTTTTGGAGGTAAAAGATTCACATTGCAAGGTTATAAAAGTGTTACGGTGTTGTTAGCAGCTAGCGAGGGCGGGAGAGAGGGTGCTGGAGCTCAGCAAACGAAACCGAGGTAACGGAGCAGCACAGTGCACATCTTGTCTAATCGTTTTTATTTTTGTGGCACTGTTATGATCAGCGTTCTGTGTTTTAGCAGTGCTTTTAGTGAGGAGAAACGTTCAGGTGTCCCACCTTGATCAAATCAAATCAACTTTATTTATCTTTCTGTTGTCTGAGGTAAGATGGCCGCCGTTTAGCTACGCCCTCGTCTCCTGCTTTCGCCATCTAGTGTTTATATACATATCCATGCCCACCAGCCTCTATTTACTGCTTGTGTTGCTATTAGCTAACCGGAAGAATGCCAACATAAAGAGGCGCATCTCGCCACCTACTGGACCGGAGTGGAACACATTTTATTTGAGTGATCGGTTTTCTAATGTGCATGTAAACTAGGATAAGGCTGCCAGCTTATGACAATAAGGTGGACCTGGATCGACTTAGGACTATCGGTCGGTTCTCGATTGGTCAGTTCTAATGTAACCAAACTGTGTTCATTTTGATATTTTCTAATAATTATTGTTTGAGAAACAATTATAAACATAGAGTTTTATTGATGTAAAGTGTGAAATGTGAATTCTTCCTATTTATTTACAGTTTCAAGTAGCTGTAGTTAACATTTCCTTTACACAAGTTGAAAATTATTGCAAATGAAGAAAAAATATAGATTTTTCAGTCAACTTAAAGACAACTAAAATTAAATCAAATTGGATGACCTATTTGTGACTAAAATTCTTTTGAACTAAGACTAAAACTAAATAAAAATGTATTGTCGAAATTAACACTGTAGTGATGTTTTTCACTAAAATAAATGCAAATACATACCCTAGTTTAACACAAAACACAAGTTAAAGTTTTAAGAAATGTAGTTCAATAAATCCAAGTCAAATAACTATTTAAGTGATTTTATGAGGTTTTATCAAGGTCATCTAACTTATTTTATTGATTTCTACTAAGCCTCTTAATTACTTTTTAGAGTGTAGGAGAAATATTTTTAGAAACAAAAGTACCTTTGGCTCCATCAAAACAAAGCTGAATATGGTTTACACTTTTAAAACTCATCTAGGCAAAAATAAAATTGGTTTTTCCCATGTTTGTTGTTTATTCGAATATTTTGTAAACGTAAATTATAAATGCAAAGTAAATGAATCTTTGCACTGATTTGTGGTCTTCTGCGGTCAAGCATACCCAAACGTGTGTGCAGACAAAGATATGAGTCTGGCATTCACACTCGTAACATGGTTGCTATAGAGTTACATTGCTATTATTATTGTAGCCTCTGATTCAGACAACTTGACATGACAAAAGACATGCTGTCTTCACACGTCTTTGGTGAAACCAGAACTTCGTTTCATTATGACGAGAAGACGTGGTGGGAGAAAATAATACAGGGGCTTTTAGGAGGACTTTAAAGTGGATGTAATTGATACTTTTTGCAAAATGAAACCCACTCTGGAATGACGACGTGAATACAATGTGACAGCAGCGCGGAAGGGGACTCTTGCCTGGATTAGCAGCTTAAAAGCTGTCCTCAGTTTTAAGGGGCTTTATACTTTATAATGATAAGTTTCCTCTCACTCTCCATTTCAGCCATAGTGTTTCTTCTCTCCTACTGGTCCTAGTATTCAAATTGCAGACTTTAGTAGGTGAGAAGCTGATGAATGTTTTTTTTTTGTTGCTTTTACCACTTTTTATGATTAGTTTTAATCAAGTGTTTCTAAATAATTTTTTTAATTATCTAAATTAAAGAAAAAATATTATTGTGCAAGAAGTCAAGACAGGGTCTAAGGAAGTAAAATAGGCCTGAACATTTTTTTATGGGAGTTATCAATCAACCAATCATTCAATCAATCAAAGCTTTATTTATAAAGCGCTTTCCGCGACCCTGTCTGGAAGCCCAAGGCGCTGAACATGGTTATATTAATTTAGTTTTTAAAAGTAATTTAGAGTTATATTAATTTTAATTCTAAGAAATACATGTTGACTAAAAACAACACTTAATATGTTTCCTTCTTCTCTCTCCTAGTGGTGGAAAGCAGAATCACATCTGTCAACTCTGCAGCAGCCTGCTGTAGCTAACATGCTAACGTTAACACGAGGCAACTGAAACTACATAAGCTACAAAGTAAAAAGATCCACATTGTTGGACAAAATAATATAATTAATTATAAGTCCAGAAGCAACAAAGCCAGGTCACCATCAGTTCATGATTTTGTTGCTTCCTAGCTTCCTCAGACTGGTGTAGGCTGTTCCTTTCTTCACCTCCAAAGACATTACTCCCTTACTCCTCGATCTGAGTGTGGCCTTCGACACCATTTCTCATCCCATCCTCCTCAATAGACTCTCTTCCTTAGATATCACTCACATCCCCCTCCACTGTTTTCTCTCTTACCTTACCGGCCGCACTCAGTTTATCCAGTTAAAATCCTTCTCCTCAGAACCCTCCCCAGTCAAGTCAGGCGTGCCCCAGGGCTCTGTCCTGGGGCGCCTCCTCTTCATAATCTATCTCCTTCCTCTTGGCAATATCTTCCGCAAATTTAGTATCCAGTTTCACTGCTTCGCGGATGACACCCAGCTCTACATTTCCAGTAAACATAACTCCACTCTCCCACCCTCCTCCATTACACTCTGCCTCTCAGAAATCAAATCTTGGTTCACCTCTAAGTTCTTCAAACTCAACGGCAATAAAACTTAACTTCTTCTTGTTGGTACCAAATCCACCATCTCCAAATCTGACAGCTTTTCTTAACTATTGACAGCGCCACAGTCTCCCCCTCCCCTCAGGTTAAGAGTCTGGGTGTCATCCTCGACAGCTCACTTTGTTTTCATGCTCACGTTAATAACATAACTCGGCCAGCCTATTTCCATCTCCGATCCATAAACCGTCTCCGCCCCTCCCTTACCCCTCACACTGCCTCCATTTTTGTCCACAGTCTCGTCACCTCCCATCTCGATTACTGCAATTCACTTCTTTTTGTTCTCCCCTACAAACTCCTTCATAAACTTCAACTGGTCCAGAACTCAGCAGCCCGTATTATCACCAGCCCGAATTATCACCTTACTTTCACAACATCACCCCGGTTCTCCAGCATCTTCACTGGCTTCCAGTTAAATTCAGGTCCATCTTCAAGATTCTCCTCCATACCTTCAAAGCCATCCACAACATCTCTCCCCATATATTTCAGACCTTATAAGTATCACCACCCCCTCGCGTTCCCTTAGATCATCTTCCTCCCTCCATCTTGCTGTTCCTTCTGCCCATCTCACTACCATGGGGAGCAGAGCTTTCAGCTGCTCTGCTCCCCATCTCTGGAACTCACTCCCCCCAGACATCAGAAATATTGACAGTTTCACCCTTTTCAAATCCAGACTCAATACACACCTGTTCAAATCTGCCTATGACCTCTGATTTTATTTGAATTGTTTATTTTTCTACGTTCTTTATCTTCATTGTGTTTTATTGTTGTTTTAATGTATTTTATTGATTGTATTTTTCTGTCAAGTGACCTTTGGTGTCCTGAAAGGTGCTTTTAAATAAAATGTATTATTATTATTATTATTATTATTATTATTATTATTATTACTTCTACTTCCAGGCTCTGCCATGACACCAACAGATAAAGCTCAGTGGCCTAGTGGTACTAGTGTCTGCCCTGAGACTGTTAGATTGTGGGTTCAAATCCACCATTGTCATTCCACTGACTTTAAAAATGGGACCCAGTGCCTACCTGCTTGACACTCAGCATTAAGGGGTTTGACTGGGGGGTCAAACCAACAAAATAGTTCCCGAGTGCTGACATGTCTGCGCCTTACCACTTCCCACATGAATCGGTTAAATGCAGCAATGTCATTTGACAACTAATAGCTCTTTAACTTTAAATTCTCGTTCTTCTTCTCCTTTTGAAAAACTAACTTTATATGAGCTACACTAAATTGCTATTGCCATAAAGCAGGTAGAGATCTCCCACTAGCGTTCCTACCCAAACAACATACCTGTTAATGTGCAGTTTCAGGTAAGCAGAGGGCTACAGAGCACTGTCCTGTGTAAAGTTAGTCAAGTTTTTGCTTCAAGAATCACTGAAATTATTTTAAAATCAATAGCTTCAAGTGTTATAAACTCTTTAGAATTGCTTTATTCATTAGTTCAATTTGCCACTAAGCAGCTCAACTTTGCCACCTGCTGACTTAAATGTTCCTATAGTCTCCTTAAAATTTGAGGAATTTAAGAAACAATTTTAAATAATCATTGTTAAACTTTTGGCCAAATGTTTTTTTCCTAATTGTGAACACAGCAGAGTTTTTAGAGATTTAAATATGATCTGAAAAAGAAACTTTGTACTTAAA